GCTACTTGAGTAAAAGCTAAGCAGACTTGATGTCACCATGCGACTAAGATTTGGTATCCCGCAGTATGATTTTTGGCTGATACTACGAAAAATTTGGTAAATGCAGGCCACATGACAAAAAAAACGAATTTCGCCGATGAATTGGGTCGCAATTCTGTTCCACACCTTAAGTTTAAGGACGCGTGTAAATCGACTAATGAGTACATCTACACCGAGCAGTTCCTCTACTTAAACCCACTACGAAGTGGATTTACACAGAATGCCACTCCTGTGTAAATCGACTCAGATTTGATTCGATATACACGCTTCCTTTCGTTTTAAATCGTGACTAGTATCTACCAGCTTTTTCGAAGTATCAACCAAAAATCATACTGCGGGCTACCAAATCTTAGTCCCATCATGACGTCACGTCCTTGTAGCCTTTTACCCCAGTAGCTTTGCTCGAGGGCCACAGAGGTGATCCACGCCTAATCTTGGTGCCACTTAGTCGATATCTCTCAGTCGATATCCCTATACTTACTTTTTGTGCAATGGTATCTTTGGGTTAGGTCAAACGTCAGAAAAAAATCCCCAAATCACTAACATCAGCGAGGCAGGCGACTCCTTCAACTGGCGCTCGCGTATCTGAAATGGTCAAAGCGGATATTTGGACGATAGCGAAAACGGCCTGTCTGGGGAAATATCGCAGCGAGACATTTCCAGAAGAGTTGCCAACTCTACGCTGCTTCCGGGGACGCCAGATGCTCTTTTGCGGGGTGAGCCCGACCGCCTCCCATTCGCCCGAAAGGCTCGATACGTTGTAGCAGGGGACATGTCGCCGCGGTTAACCCAACGACATAGCCATGATATGTTCGTGAGCCCTGTACATCGGTCGTTCAGGGTCTTCCAAGTTGGGTCTTGGGTAATTCTAATCTAAATGGAGGGCCCTACACTTGTCGTGGGGCCCATCCGTCAACATGCTTTGGCACACGTGTTCGTGGGTTGCTTTAGATATTGGGCCTCGGTATTTGCATATAGGACCCTACCCTGCTGTCGGGGGGGGGGGGGGCATCTGATAGCCTGCTTGAGTGCACTCGATCGTTCGGGACCCTTCACGCTGGGTCTTGGGTACTTCTTATTTGAATGAAGGGCCCCACGCTCTTGTGGGGCCCCATCCGTTAACCAGCTCGGTCATACTCGATCATTCCTGGGGCCCCCATACTGTGTCTTTGGTGCTTCTTTTTGTAATGGTTGGCTCTATGTTCTTGTCCGGGCCCCATCTAGTTAGCTGCTCGGGCCCAGCGGCGGATCCAGGGGGTAGGGACACGGGACCACGCCTCTTTGTACCTAAGGGAACCCATAGGCTCCGAAGCGGCTAATCGCGGGACGAACGGACGCAGTTTTGTAACACAAAACACGACAAACTTGGGCACATTTAGGTCTCCAGAAGACCAAGAACAGTCGCAAGCGAAGTGAGGGGCCCCGTGGGTAGACAGATAAAACTTGCCAGGTCCATAAGCTTTATCAATAGGTCTTTGGTGATTGACAGGGTGGTAATTGGGGGCCATATTGAAGCTCATTACGCTGTCTATACGCGTTATGCTGTTGCCGGAGCTCTATGTGTCCACCAGCGAATTTTTACGCGCAAAGTTCGAACTTAATATCACCTGCTGCCGAAGTCGTATATGTTGTATCCGTTGGCTACTGAATTTGTGACAACTTTTATACTTGTGCATCACGTTCTCAATACATTTCAAATGCTAGGAGGTTGTGTTCCCCATCATAGCGAAGAAAGTAAAAACTCTGCATCAGTAATCAGCTATCAGCTGATCACATCGATCTGCCGGCTAGCTGTAAATAAGCCAGGAATCAAGTGTATGCTTGAGTTTAATCTATTCTTCACCAGCTTTTTGATATTCATAACCAACTAAGGTGTATTTTTCCACGATCTTTTTCTCGAAAAACTGGACCCAAGAATGACAGGATTCACCATGATCTGGAGAAAATGAAAAGCTTCATGTATGTGCATACGTAACACGCCTAGTTCTGTACGGCTGCGCACAGTAAGATGGGCTCCCGTATAAAAATAGCTCGCTAAGATTAATACAATAGAGTGGCAGGAACACGATGATTTTATGGAGGGGCCTTAAACTCTAGAGGGCCAGGATTTGCATGCTTGACGAAATCCTCGATCCGCCCCTGATTCTGTAATCCTGAACGAGTGATCAAAGAAATGAATACCACATGCCTAGTCAAAACCATGGATTAAGAAGTCCAGAACTTAGTGTTTTAATTGGCTCAGTTTATTATGCATGTCATTTTCATATGCCCGGGCAAACAGCGAGTTTTTAGATAGGTTCAAATTTAGTATGTTTTGTTTTTTGTCATTTTCTTGTTCCTCTTTTACTTTTTACACTTTCCTATTTCCATACACAATCAAGACATCCTAGTGTGAAAATCATACTTTAACAGGCACATTTGGTTATCAGGGGTCATTTACAACACATGGACTACCAACACAACATGCAACATCCAGCTCAAACGCGATTAACATCAAAATGACAGCACATTTAAAACACATTTGTTTCAATAATCAACACACCAAACACCCTTTATCACTGTCGCTGTTTCTCCTGCGGACCGGGATGTTACGTCACCCACTCTAAAAGTGAATGTTTTAAATTTGAAAATATGAAAGCAGATGATGATGATGAATAATGATGAAAAAAGCTCACTTATGGCTTTTGGTACACTTTAGTAGAAAAGATGCCCCTAGACAACACAATTTCTCTTCTTAGTGAATATGCTCCTTGATAGTCATTGCTTGTCATCGTCATCGTACCTACATCGTTTGCCATCGTCATCGTGCTCAATTCACGTTATCGCACCTTGCACAATGTTGATTGAGAGCAGTTGACAGCGGTTACACCTGGAAACGTGCTCACGAACGCCAGATATGAACGACTCGACGATCATATTTTTCTCGGCCTTGATCGCCGCATACCTTATGGAATGGTAAAATGTAAATGGCGTTACTATGACGCTTGATAAATGAAAGTTTTCTTGCATATGCACAATGTAGTCGCATAGGTGGTTCTCAACGCAAATTGCCAAGGATGTGTGGCAACCCCGTGTTCTTAATGCACGCGGGTTACCTCCGTGCAAAAGCTCATCCCCATTCCCCTCCTCTCACCCCGCTCTTCCTACCCTTAACTCACTCTCCTGTCCTCCCTTTCCCCACGACGGTCAGTTATTCTGCCTGCCCACGAGCGGAGAATGTCCAAATAATTATGTCACCAAATTGCCCAACAGCCATTAACGTCCAAACGAATTAAATCTCCCGGCTGGTCCGTCACCATGTCGTGCACCTCGTGCAACAATGGACAGTTCAAGGCGGTCTCTCCCCGTCCTTCAAGAGCTCGGCCAAGCGGGTCCGCATATCGCAGAACATGTCCATCTTGTTTGTGACGGCTGCTATGTATTTTTCAACTCTGATGTAGTATGCTGCGGTTACCTGACGTAATGTCCATCAGCACTGCTCCCAAGTGCAGGGGTAGTTGCCCTCGTGGTGTCCCGGGATCAAGGACTTCATTGCAAGTTGGCTTTGCAAGACACGCTCTCGGTCGACCCAAAACATCAGGAGGGTGCCGAAACGTGTACGAAATGGTATTGCCCCGTTCTGGACATTTCTGACATTCGTCATATCGTGTATCCCGTACCGAACAAGACGCCTGATCGTTGGCAGTGTGCGATGTAAATTGCGGAACTAAAGCCACATCAGCTTGAAATCCATGATGTTTTTATGTGTGCTTAAAACATATGACTCCGATTCAACGTCTCTGAGAAATTTAGCTCACCTCCCCATTTTATTTGCGTCTTCTCATGATAGGTAAATTTAGTACCTTGTAGCAAAATACCCTAAGACCACTTAACGCTTTTGGGTGTCTTCAAAATACGCTCAAAGAAAACCGGCAGACTTGATGTTTGCGGTCTGCCTTGCAAGGGTAAGAGTGTTGCTTTCCATTCTCCGGTCACCTTTGATAGCAAAGCATGCCGTAGAAGGAATATTTCAAACTTACGTTGTCGTCGAAGCTCAGTTCCTGCTCTTAACCTTCGTCGCTCGATGTCTACAATCCTGCCACCTTCGCAACACCGTGTCCGATTACGGTCTGTTCTTGAAATTTATCGTGGTGCATACAATAGAGTAGGCAGGGTGTGGGAGGGGTACAGCGGGCCTATGTCCCCACCCCTTAAGTTCGGAGGGGCCGGAACCGGCTGGAGATCGGATTCAGGAGCCACGGCCCGCAGGGCCGGCAATGCAATGCCAGCGAGAGGCCTCTGTTCGCCGATCACGGCCCCCTGAATTCCCAACGGCCTGAATGTCGGCCGGACACCAGCAGTAACGCAGAGCCGGATCCAGGGCGGCATGGAGCTGACGGCTCATATCCCAAGCGGGGATGCAGCCGGAGCCAGCGATTCGCATTGGTCAGGGCCCCAGCGTCTGCCACAGCGCCTGACGGGGGTGAGGGGGGCCCTGTGCTGGCAAGGGCCCCGAGCCGGCCAGAGACAGTGTTCGAGGAGGCTCGAAGAGCCTAGAGGGCCCACCGGGTCCGACGATCAAGGGCCCGATTTTGGGGCCCAAGGGCATGAAGGCTGGTTGGAATCCAGGCACCGCCAGTACCACACAGTCAGATGCGTGCCGGTATTGGCCTGAGGGCCCGCTTCCCAATCAGCTACAAACCCGAGGCCAGTGATCTATACTGGCCCTGTATCTACCAGAGGCCCATAGCGCTTAACAAAGGATCCTGTGAGCGCAAAGGGCCTCAAGCCGACAAAGGGCACTTTTCAATGAGGCCCGAAGGGTGGTCCAACAGAACCGACGATCAAAGGCCTGTTGGAAGGCGTAAGGGACCACAGGCTACCTGTAGGTTATATGAAGAGTGGCAGCCCGTAGGGTCGTGGTCTGAAATATCAGTCAGAGGTCCTCCTGCGCCGTTTGAGGGCCCCTGAGACAATGCGAG